ACACACACACACAACACACACACCATACACACACACACACCACACACCCACGCACACCACACACACACACACACACACACCACAACACACCACATAACACACAACACACAACACACAACCAACGCACACACCACACACCACACACACACCACCACACACACACACCACACACAACACACACACACCACCTACTAATCGTGAGCACATGATAACTAAATAACAGTCTCGTCGCCACTGGATCCTTTATACAGGTATACTTCCTGGCTTATTGACCTTTAAGCGATGTAAAATCAACAGGTCCAATTAATGACAGGGAAGTCACTTAACACCGCGTTAATCAGACTCACATACTAAAAGGTCCTGGGTGGCCAGAGTGTGGATTAGTGGAATCGTTTTGGTGTAATATGCGCACAGTGGCTCAACTTCAACCAACACTTAAGCACCAAACACCTCACACTAATACCCGTCATGCAAGTACTGGTTTATGCTAAGGAGTTTTAAGAGTAAATTTTAGAAAAAAACAGTGCATTTTGGGAAGTGGTGAAGCATTAATACCGGATAAATGAGACTATCTTTTATACTATTTGGTATAACATTTGGATGCTGTTGAATAGCCTACGGCCTTCATTATGTCAATCTATTTCAACGCATCTAAATTTCCCCGTTTTTGACGTTGCTTTGAAAAGAAACAAGGGTAAAGGCATGAATATTGAAATAAAAATGGAATATGTGTGGTTGAAGTATTCCTTAAGAGTGTGAATGATTGCACTCACTCACCAGGTACAATAGAAACAACTCCTTGAAGATGATGATGATGATGATGATGATGCCTCTATAACTTGCTGGAGTTTGATATTTTGTCAAATAAGGGTCAAAGTAAGATATTTTAGTGTATCATTTAAATGTGGGTTTAATGTTGATTAAAGTATTTATTTTTCTCATAAGCATTTAAAAATAAAGCTTCAGAATTAACATCGTGATTTATCAGGAGTACTTAGTGTGAAAAAAAACGAACTCCAATTTACACTTCAACCCCAGCTTGGTGAAGATGATATTATACAAAATGTTCCTGTGGTGACGTTTGTTTCCTCAACTGCTCAACACACACTTAAAACATAACGTTATCCGAGAAGAAGGGGGATAAGACAGACTAGACCCTAAAACTGATTATAGCTCCTGCCTGTGTCCTCCCACTCTCTAACTCGATCCTGCAGCTGCATCTTCGTCTGATCAAAACGGGGAGATCACAAAGAAAGAAATGAAGCCACATGAGGAGTAGCAGAGTTGAGGAAGGCAGCGTCCTTTACAGCGCAGACCTGCGGATGGTATCCTTCATTTCCTTCGTGAACCCTGACCTCAACCTCTAACTACTTTCCTCCTTCGGAATGCATCCTAGAGCTCTGGCTGAAAGAGTCGGTAAACAAATCCTTTTGTGCCATTAAAGAGCGGACTTCCGTTAAAGGTGAAATCCTCTCCTTTCGGCTGTTTTAGTCTTAAGTGTCCATGTCCTGAGGGGACAAGAGCAGGCAGGTCAGGAGGTGAAGAGGGTCAAGGCAGACAGGAAAGCAATAAAACGTCACCTTGGGATTACACATCACACATCACACACACACCACCACACATCACGCCGTACTGAGTGTTCACAACACACACACACACGCAACACACCACGCACACACACACATCACACAACACAGCTGGATCATAACACTCTTCATCCACGGTTTGAACTGCTCCTGAGCAGCTGTCTGCCGCACGAGAAGTAATTAGAGACGGCTTGCAGGAACCAGAGGAACAAGACCTTATATTTGAATGTCCTGTACAATCACTGATTCCACATGTGTGGTAATAAAAAATTAAGTTGTGGGCTTAACCTGAGGCATGGAAGTAGTAGTTTACACAATTTAATCTGCCTAAATAAACAGCCAACATTAACAATCAAAGATAGATCTTGTTTTTAGAAAATCTTTTCTCTATTTCTCATAGCAATAAGTCAAAAATACTAAGATTTACTAGAATAACATGAGTATATTATTGGTATTTCTGCCTCACAAGAGACTTACAGACACTGTCAAGCTTATTCTTACATTTATTGTAAAAAAAAATACAAACTACCCACCTTACAAAGGGCCAAGTGGCTCCTTAGCACCAGATACACCGGCCCGAAACGGCAGTAAATGGGAGTCAAGGCCGAACATGAGCGTGGGCACGCCCTATTCGGAGTGGTGGCGCCGCACCGTCGGGTTCTTTCGTCGCCGACCTGACGCCTTTCTTTGCCGATGGGCGTCTGGAATTCCACCGGAATGTGCAAAGGGATAACACTGATGTGGCTGTTCAGCGAATAGTGCCATCGAGAAGCGTTAACGGAAGTGAGGGGGTAAACAAATGATTCAACACAAGCGTATAGTCCAAAGGCCGATGCTCCATTACCTCCCGTTCGTCTGCCGATCATGTTTTTCAATGGACGACGAGAGAAATGGAAAGAAAACACGCTATTTGTTGTTTGTTTATATCCATGGAGGTCTGCTTCTTCTTCTCGTCATGTCGGTTGTTCCGGATGTTGCCTCTTGAAATGATGAATACACACTACCGCCGCCTGCTGGTAAGGAGAGTTATTGCCACTCACGCATGCGCAGTTCATACGTGCTCGGCTCTGATTTGCGGTGTGTTCCAGTGCGCGAAGTCGGCAAATACGCAGGAGAGTCCGGCGACGCAACAGTCGGTGTCGGCGTCGGCGACTTCTCAGGTGACTGGCCGGTGTATCTGGGCCTTTATAGGAGGAAAACTAATATTTTTTGGGAACTTAGCAACTGGAGAAGAAAGTTGTGCATAATAATTGCTGTCTATAGTTTTGCACACTCATTGTTGGTTTCATGAAGGGAGATTGAATAAAATCCATCTCTGCTGTGATATTTAAAAATGGTGTTTGATTCGAGAAATGTTTTTAAACAAGTTGATTTGTATTGAACTCAAAACAGGACACATATTTGTTGGCACATGTACAATCCTTGTCAACATATGAACACCCACATCCCTTTTGGTCTCCCCATCAAATGTCACATTTCATAAACTTTAAGGCAAAAGGACACACTGTATAAATAGAAAATATTTATTTTGATGCACAAATACAGTGGTGTTTACATGGTTGATTGATAAAGGTTACCAGAGGTAGACATACAAATACCGCTCTAATAATCAAACTTTGGTTCTGTGATAAACAGATTGTATAAAAGCAATAACACATACAAATACTCAAGTAAAAAAAATGTTCTCAAGAGCCAAGGTGAAAAACATAAATCATTTCAGAGCAACATTAACTTGTGGCCTGTTTCCACTTTTGTTTGTTTAGTGGTCACAAATCTTTGGAGTGCAAGGTGTTCATCGAAAAGTTGAAAAGCCAAAACAAAATATTAAAAAGACAATTGAAAAATTCATCAGAAAATTGTATCTCAAGTATAAAAAGTATTTACATCTTTATCAAATGTTTTGATTTTTTTTTTTACTAATGCAATGGCTCAAGGTGGAGCTAAACACAATCACGTTACAATCTCATGACGTTTTGAAGGAACATTTTCAAAGAGGTTAAAATTGCCAGAACATTTTGAATCTGAAGTCCAGTATAAAAGCATAACATACTGAGTAAGCATTGAACTTAAGACAGTATTTTAGAAAAAGCACTTTCTTCATCGATTATAAATGACTTTATAAACACCTGATAATATCCACATGCGTGATGTAAACATGGTATATTGGAGAGAGAATCTGATTATTGATTAAAAAAAAGGAAAGACTTGTTGCTGCTTTTTAAAAGCACAATGAGTCCTAAAGTAACTCCTGCTTCAGTCTGATCGTGTCCTCCTGTGAGACCCGGATCTAACAGTCCTCGCTCTGCAGCATGGTCAGGAAGAAGTTGCACACGCTGGCCCACGAGCCGCTGCAGTTCTCTTCAGCTGTTTTCAGATGGTTCACGCGCGCTGTGCATGCAGTCGGTTTGACCGGAGCTGCAGCGGTGGCGCGAGGCTGCGGCGGTGGTGGCACGTGAGTTTCCGCCTCTCCGGACTGAGCGAGGTTGACGGAGCTCACGTCCAGTTTGAAGTGCGCATCCCTGGGCGCGCGCTTACAAATGCCAGCCCTCACCAGCTTGCTCTCGTCGCTGCACACTTTGCCCTGCAGCTTTTTGAACGCACGCGCCACCTGTTTCCAGAAGCCCTTGTTGTTGGACTTGTATCCCGCGCAGCTCTGAGGTTTACCGTTGTATTCACACTTTATATCCGTGACTCCGCCTTTGGTGCGCGCCTCCCGGTCCTCGCATTTCACCGACAGCTTGACCGCGTCCCCGACTGCTTTGGCCCCCCACGTGCACTGCATCTTGTTGTTGATGGAGAACTTTCCACGGCCGTTTGCGGCAGACTTGTCCCCGCTCCTTGGCGCTTTGTCCGGGGCTGCAGTCACCGACTTGTCTGCTCCTCGGTGCTTATTGCGCGCACCGGAGGAGAGAGAGACCTGCTGCCCGAGGAAGGCCAACAGCAGCCAGGGAGCGACAGTCGTCAGGAATAACATTTCCTCTTTTAGCAGACAGATTATCACCTGAGAGCACAGACAATGATTTTGTTAAGCAACATTATTTTAGAAATCACTTTATCATCTGAAAGGACAGAACATGCGCGGTTAAAACAAGGTCCAAAGCCTCAGTTCTGGTCAAAAGAATAATTATGAAAAATAATAATATATGAATTATATATAAATCTACCACTCCACCCCAGGAACAAAAATGATGCAATGTATTTTTCCTTTGCGAGCGGAGCCAAATGGTTGTTTACGCCAAATGGGGAAAACGTGTTAACGCATAGAAAGGTGCCATTCAATTTGATATTTGAGCCTGCAGCAACTAAATAGACACCTGTGGAAGTAAGGTCGTAATACCAACCATACTACACCTAAAGTACCAAACAATGAAAGTACACAGACAAACTTTTCTCACCCAGAAGAACTCGTGCGCTGTGCGGTAAATCTGCTTCTTGTGGCCTCCTCTGTGTGCTCTCACATGGTGCTTTCAATACATACAGAAATGAATAGATGCTTCGGCACCCCACTATCCCGCACAACACACACACACACAGACGACACGCACACGCAACACGCGCAACAACACACAACACACACACCCACCACAACACACACACACACAACACACACACACACACAACAGCACAACACACACACACACTTAACAACCTAAAAATGACGTAGGCACGCAGCCCATTGAGGGAAAATCTTGGAGTATTTTATGGGGTTTTTGCGTGTCCCAAACATGAACTTTTAACTGAATAGATCAAGGAACTGGTGCCTGAATCCATGATCTGCAATGTCTGCACAGATAAGAAGTGGGTTTATTTTAATAACTGTTACAATGGCCCTGGGGAACACATGTACCCCACCACCTTCACACAACACTCAATCTAGGGAGGCTTCGACTCGCTCTCCACCAATCCGCTTGCACTCAACCACGAGGAGATCATGTCCTTCCAAATTCCCACATGTGGCTTACCTTAACACCAAAGCAAAAACATAGAAAGATTTGTGATTAAAAAAACAATGTGGTGAAGCGGCTAAAGTTATATAGGCGTAACTCAAGTACTGTCACTTAAAAATATAAAATTTGGCATATGAGTCCATTTCCTGCCTTATACTTGTAATGCCTCCTACATTCAGAGTAAAAAAACCCAACTACTCAACTTTAAATTATGTGCAAATAACCTGCAGTATAGTGAAAATAAACCCACTTTTTAAACACTAAATACATCAAAAGTATATAAATTACTTATTCTCTGAATGCAATTCCTGGCTTTTAAACAAGTGTGGGTTTTTTGAGTTTTTTTTCTTCTGATTGATAAAAGTGGAGCGAATCATAATAACTGGAAGTAAAAGTCCCACTTATTCCTGAAGGTTTTAATTAAATAAACTGATTACGCACATCAAATAACTGACATTATTGACCAGATTGTTGAACCCTGTTGTTTAACTCCAGTTTATCTATCAAGGTAACACAAATTTACCAGATGTCTGCTCCTCTCTCCCATAAACCCTTTCATGTGGTTCCTTCTCTTCCTCTTTGATATCCTTGAAACAACCTCAACCTCAGTTGAGCCTTCTTATATGAGTAAAAGTAAGAGGAAGTGTCTTCTTCTTATTTCATTCACCCGTGGCAGGCTGTTACAAACAATCACTGAAAAACGGTGTCGCAACTATGTATTCATTTTCTGTCTTTGTTTAACATTTTGTCCTTTGTCCACTATGGTGGTCTTTTTACCTTCGCATAAACCTAGGCTTACACGTCTGAATAAAATAATTATTATGAATATATTTAAACAATCTTCGTGATTGGATTATTGTAGGAGTTAGGCCCAACAACTGTTTGGATTAGTTTTGTGTCATAAAGATAAAGCAAACTTTTCCTCAGAAATCAAAGCAAAACTAAGAGTTCAGGAGGTAAAAAGAACTGAGTCAAACAAAATAAATAATTCAAAAATAAAACTATAAGTGCCAATCATGTAAAATAGGAAAACTTAGGCTATAAGGTATTTTTCTCCTTGTTTTTGAACATACGTATTTTTGGTTGCAGTTCTTGTTTGCTTTCTTTCTCAATGAGTCAGATTCCTGGGCAGATGTTTAGCCCCAGTCCGGCCATCATGGTGACCCGGACATCTCCTTCAAAAATAATAAATAGGGGGAGTAAATCGGGCAAAGTTCGATGTGTGTAGAGGTGTGTGTGGTTAAAACGAACGGCCTGCGGTCACATCTTTAGCTGTTAATGAAGGGTCACAAGTGTAGGCGGTGCACTGTAAAAAAAATGGCGTGAAATCTACAGTTATTTTACAGTGTTTGTGCACAGTTAATTACTGTAATACCATTTTAGAGTATAATACCGTGTTTCAACCCAAAAATTACAGCAAAACTCTGGAAGTTACTGTAAAATAGCAGTAGTAACGTCCCAAACTGGTAATAAATCACAGTAAACAACAATGTACTGTAGAAGATCAACAGTAAACCAACAATGTACTGTAGAAGATCCACATTAACCAACAATGTTACAGTAGAATATTCCAGTAAATGGGACGCAGTACGATATTCAACAGTAAACCATCAATGTACCTGATAATATTCACGTAACCAACAATGTACTCGTTGTAGAACATCAACAGTAACAACAAGCACTGCGGTAGATATGTTATAACAGTAACAACAATGCAACTGTAGATATTCAGCAGTAACGACAATCGACTGTAGATATCCAGTAAGCCAACAATGCACTGTAGACTATTCAACAGTACGCAAACCAAATGCCACTGTTAGAATAGTTCACAACAGTAACCAACAATCACTGTAGATATCAAGTCAACGAACAATCTACTGTAGATACTTCACAGTAACCAACAAATGTCTGTAGATAATTCCACGCTAACCAACAATGCACTGTAGATATTTACAGTAACCAAGCAATGCACTGTAATATTCACAAGTACGAACAATCTACTCGTAGACTACTCAGCAGTAACCAAGCAATGCACTGTAGATATTCACAGTAACCAACAATGGCACTGTAGATATTCAGCAGTAACGAACAATCTAGCCGTAGATATTGCACAGTAAACCAAGCATTCTGTAGATATTCACAGTAACCACAATGTATTGTAGATAAGTCCACAGTAACTACTGAGAGAATCACAGTAAGCCCCATCAATGTCTGTATATATCACAGAACCAACAATGTAGCTGTAGACATCACAGTAACCTACAATGTAGCTGTAGAAGATCACCGTAACAACAAATGTACTGGTAGAAGATCACATTAAACGACCGCTGACAGCACCAACAATGTAGCTGAGATATTCACAAGTAATGTACTGTAGATAATCACACGTAACCAATCCAGTGTACGTAATCACACAGTAACCAACCAATGTAGCTGTAAACCAATCACATAACCAACATGGCACACCTGTAGAATTACAGTAACCAACAATGCACTTTATAGTATTACACCAGGTAACCGAACAATCCCTAGCGTAGATATCAGCGAGTCAAGCCAACAAATGACAATGTAATGATAATTCAGCAGTAACCAACCAATGCACTGAGAATATCACAGTAAGGCGCAACATGCCTGTAATATTCAGCAGTACGAACAATACACGTAGATATTCAGGCAGTAAACCACAATGTACCGTTTCAATATTCAGCCAGTAAACCAACAATGCACTGTAGACTATTTTAGCAGTTAGACCAACCAAAATTGCACTGTAGACTATTTCAGCAGTAAACGAACAATCTACTGTAGATATCACAGT